GATTAAGAAAACAGCCGAATCCCGGAGATTTTGGGCAATTAAGAAATCCCGGCCAGACGCATTTTTGTAGGTCCAAAAAGAGGACATGTCCGAGGAAAAGAGGACGTAGGCCTATGGGTCACCCTAATTTATAATCTATTGCTAATTGATGTATTCTTTTTAAAGTAGCATATGGAACATATTTTCTGTCTCATTCTGTGACCAGAAGCCTCATCAGATCACAAAAGGAAGCATTTGACTGGTGTTGTGGAGTAAAAAGGTTATAATTTTCTCTTTTGTTGGACAACAGGTTTAGAAATGTGAATACAAGGGAGGTTTAGCTTTAGTCAATGCATTTTAAGCATGTTTAGCTTAGTTAACGGAAGGCTACCTGCTGCCATCAGAGCAAGTGTAATTACTGCATTCGCGCGCTCCTCGGATGCTCTCATTTCCCGAGTTGTGCTTTAAAGTCAGAATGTGAAAACAATATGGACACTCTCGTTACTACAAAGATGTGTTGGATTTGTATTATTAGACCTTTCCGACTTGAGTTCACGTGCATTTTCTCAGTCGGGAAATTATTTTTCATCATTTAACCAATGACTCGGTCTGGCTAATAGTGCCACTCCTTGCCAGAGTCCAGCCACCAGCTCTCAACTGTACAGTTACTCAAGCAGGAAAATGTGCTGCAAAATATGCCAATATTCTAGAAAAGTCTTTGAGGAAGAGAGGAGGAATTCATTGCCCATCCTTTCTAGATGAAAGCATCACTGAAATGAATTCAGTGTTATAGGACCAGCATTTTCTAATAATATGAACTCTGAAACTAATTTTGCATTCGTCAAGGTATGGGCTGCACAATTATGGCAAAAATAATAATCATGATTATTTTCGTCATTATTGAGGTCACGATTATTTAACATGATTACTTATTGACTTTGGAAACATTCTGCATTTATTGTAAAAACATAAAATGAATATATACACACACACACGTATACTTACATGGATTTAAAACACAGAACAAAACAAGACATAATCGTTGGAAGCCAAAACCATAATTGAAAAAAAAGGATTAATTGCACAGCTCTAGTCGTCTACACAAGCTATTCAGATTATTATATCACAAGCACAGTGATACCAGCAATGCTCTTTGTGCTGCATTTGTGTGTAAGAATGTTACTCTTTTGTTTGAATGACTCCTGGCAATACTCTAGTCCCAAATGCAGCTTGTTAAAAGAGGAGTAAGACAGTGGTTTCTATTTATACACTGGTTTGCAGCGCTGCAGCGGAACAGAGCAGAGGCCAGGAAAAGAAAATCAAGATGTGCTTGCATGCAGCCTGTGAGGATAATTCTTTCCTTTTTACTTCACCTTCCTCTTCCTGCACTCGAGTTGAACAGCACATTCACACGTGGCTTGAGGGGCGGTCTCAAATAACTGCAGCCCATTTGAAATGTGAAAACGGTGGAAGCCAACTTTAAATATTTCATGACAAAGCAAGTGCATTTCTCAGACGGCCAAAGGAAGTCGCCCAGACAGTTCAGAGTGATTGTTGTGCATATTTAACTTTTGGCCATTAAAAAAAATGATTCCTGAAAATACCTATTTTAGTAACTTTATACAGCATTCTATATAGAGCTGCACGATTCTGGATAAATTGAGAATCACGATTTTTTTGTCTCAAATAGAGATCACGATTCTCCCACGATTCTGAACTAAACAAAATAATGTGTGACAAAACATTATTGCTGCAGCCTATTTAAAAGTGTTTAATTAATTTGAATGAATTATTAAACATTTTGATATACACTACCAGTCAAAAGTTTTTGAACAGTAAGATTTTTAAAGAATTCTCTTCTGCTCACCAAGCCTGCATTTATTTGATACAAAATACAGCAAAAGCAGTAATACTGTGAAATAATTTTACTATTTAAAATAACTGCTTTCTATTTGAATATATTTTTGATTGCTGTTCAAGAAACATTTTTTTCATTATTATTTTTATCAATATTTAAAACACTTGAGTACATTTTTTCAGGATTCTTTGATGAATAGAAAGATCAGCATTTATCTGAAATAAGCTTTTGTAACATTAGGATGATGTACATCATGACAGTTTCCTTTCTTCAAGTTCACTTTAAAGCTCAAAATCAAACCTCAGAGACAACAAACTAGCTAACAGGCGAGTAGCAAAACACGAAACAAATTAATTGTGATCATCATTTCCTAACTTTATAAGCTGTAAGATAACGGCAGCTCAACGTCGCCATGAGATATTCTGCGATTTACCTCAGCAACACAAGTCTTTAGTCGTGATTGATTTCTTGCATAACAATTGCTAAAGAGTATAAAATATAGTATCCTTACCTTGCAGCAGGATAAGAGTTCATCAAACACGACAATTCACTTTTCTTCACCGCTCAAACCGTTTAGTGTGATGTCGCGCTTCCCTTCAGTCAGAGGAAAGGCGGCCAAGCAGCATCCGATGACTTTTTTGCCGCTTTTCACACTCTCGCCACGCACTACAAAAGACACAGTCGCGCTGCGCAGGGACGCTCCTATTGGCTGGTTGAGGTGCACCGCGACAAGACAGCGGCGTTTGATTGGTTGACCTCGCAGTACGTCACTAGAAATGTTTCAAGCGTCCAATAGTTGACATTTTCAATACTCTATTCTCAAACTATACACCTTTTTTCGTGACTGTGTTTGTGTTAAAGCTTTTTGAAACGAGTTGTGTAAAAGTTATCTCTGAAAAAAGTAATTATTTCTCAAATTCTCATTTTCAGTACATTGTTATTTTTTATCATACTTGGCGATTTTTTATACACAAATACAAATTCAGGGAGTATGAAGAACCAAATCCCTCATTGTTTTATTTTTGTATTTTATTTTAAAATGTTGCTGCTGGCTAAATGAGTCCTCTATCCATAATACTGCTTTCTCCAGTGAAAAGATCATCTTGTCTCAATCAGGAGAGAAATGTGCACAGATCAAGCACTGTTCACAAGTGAAAACAGTCATAAACAAATTTGTCTTTGGATTCTGATGTGAGAAGACAAAAAGGGAGTGGACTTTTTCCACTGGAGGAAGTGTTATGATGGATTATATACTCATATTTTGGCAAGATGCAAAGGTTTTGAAGTTAAAACACCTTAACGATGAATTTGAATCTTACAAACACAAAGTTTTTGACTTCCCAAGTCATTAATTGATGTACTGGAGTCATGTGGATTACTTGTGGATTATTGTGATGTTTTTATCAGCTGTTTGGACTCTCATTCTGACGGCACCCATTCAATGCAGACAATCCATTGGTGAGAAGCAAGTGATGTAATGCTACATTTCTCCAAATCTGATCTGATGACAACAAACCGATGTGCATTTTGGATGGCCTGAGGGTGAGTAATTTTTTTTTTTAGTAAATTTCACACATTTCAGATTCAGGGATTCAGGTTAATTTGTCCAGTCAAAAATCCAGATATATCATGTCAGCAAATCCTTAAATGCATTCATGTAGTTCAGACAGTAAAAAATGGCGCTAGCAATGGGTTCTATTCCCAGGGAATGCATGAAAGCAATGTAAGCTGCTTTGTATAAAAGTGTCTTAGAAATGCACAAATGTAAATTTTAAAATTGCTCTACAACATGTTTTCTAACTTCCCTTTAAAAATGTAAGTTACCTTAACCATAATTTCTACCAAAATACCATACCACAGTGGTTAATTTATTTAAACTAACTTGGTATTACCAGTCATAAAAATGTAAAAACAAATTTTCCCACATAGTGAGGTAGATATGTGGGGGCGTGTTCGAACGAGCCGTTTTAGGGGGGTATGGCTGACTCTTAACTTTTATAAAGAATATCTCTTTGGATATGAGACTTTAGTCTTTGCAAATTTACAGATCTTCTTTATGCACCAAGAGCTTGTAACACTCCAAAGAGAAAGGAAAAAATGAAATCGCATCATATGACCCCTTTAAAGCTTTTTGAAACGAGTTGTGTAAAAGTTATCTCTGAAAAAAGTAATTATTATTTCTCAAATTCTCATTTTCAGTACATTGTTATTTTTTATCATACTTGGCGATTTTTTATACACAAATACAAATTCAGGGAGTATGAAGAACCCGCTACTATTGATTTTCTGATAGACTATAAATCCTATGTTTTGTCTTTGATGGGCATAAATTTAATAAATAAATTAATAAAATTAAAAATCTTTTAAAAGCCAAAAATTACTTTAAATATTAATCCTTGTATTTTTTCACCTGACATTTCGTTTTGGCTACTTATTGTATTATTATTATTATTATTATTATAGGTCTCATTTCCTATTGTCCTTGTTGTTCAGTTCTGTACGTGTTGAAACAATTGCATGTACTATAAGTTGTTTGGCACAAATTAAAAAATGCTGTGCGTTAAAGAGGAACCAATTAAATATTGATTTAAAATTATTATTATTAATTATAATGCTCCTTTTCCTTTCTGTTCATGTCTTCAAAATGCTCTATATTTATCTGTTCATGTTAAATGCTTAAGTTATTAAGAGACATTATGAGTTTAGTGCACTATGACTTTATTCTGGTTCAGAAGTTAATAAGTGCAGAGCAAGAGAACTGGGAATCAGACCTCACAGAAAGCCATAAAAAGCCATTTAGATTATCGACTGCCAGTTTACAGCAACTCTCCTCAAATATATATTTAAGTAACTTCATTAAATAGTCATATTCCTACAGAAAATCACATGCAAGGAAAACTCTAAACCAATTAAATTCAACTCCCTTTCAGATTGGCATAGCAGTACAATTGTAAATGCGAGATCTTCACAGTTTGATGATCAGTCTTTCAGGATGAGGGGGGCTTTGACTTGGGCAGCAACCTCTGCACCCATAAGCTCTTCCACTATAGTCAAGGCAAACTCAAAGCTGGTTCCTGGCCCTCTGCTGGTGATCACGTTACCATCCTTCTGAACACGAGCCTCTGAATATTTATAATGATCTGGGGGAAGAATACAAAATAATTCATATGGCTAAAGATATCACCACAGTCGACAAGTGCAAACTTAATTTTTCGTTCTCCTGCAGCGAAACAAACACAAAAGCACCCTAGTTTAAGAAGAACAATATAGTGTAGCTTTTGGTCTGCCGACAACAGCTTTGTCATTGTGTAATTAATTAAGAAATCCTAAATGACCTACAACATATCTAGAGATACAGTACATATATATCCATTGTGTTTAATGAAATGCAAAAGTAATGTCCATGTTTTAATGTGTTTTTAAAACAAAGAAAAGATGCAGGAAGAAGGCTAGTATGTGCATTTTGAAATGGGGGAAACTCCAAAGATTAAGGGCCAGTTTTGCTAAACAGGGCAAATTAGCGCGAGAGCGCAATTCCAAAACAGCACAGATGGGCGTGGAAACTTCTGCCAGTGATTTACTAACAACGCGCAAATTAAAGAACACAGATCTCATCTCATTTACATATCGACCAACGCAATATGCCAAGCGCAGCGCAAATTAGAGCAGTCGCAACTAAAGAATAAAGAAATAAAGTAGCCACAATACATTGAAAAGAACCGGAGGCCAAAAAATGCTTGAAGCTGCAAGGAGTTTTGATAGACCTGATTTTTTGTGTGACTCCTAGATGAGGGTTCCAAGTCGTCTTTTATTTCCTGAAGCAAATTAAAAATAACATGGCTTGGCAAATGATATTTTCGTATTCTTCTCTCATTCCAAATAAATTATGTGTGGGAAAAAAATCCTCTCCCTTCTACCACGCACTCTCTGTTCTCTGCGGTGCCTCCTCCTAGCAAAAAATTTGCAGCAATTTCAAGCGCAAAAATAGTTTGACATGCTTTTTTTGGGTCGTTAAATAATGGCGCAAATACCAGTAATTTGACGAGCGCAAAAGTTAGTTAATCTAGTTGCGTGATTCATTTGAATGCTCTCCTCCCATAAATATTGCGTCTGAAAGGGAAACTCCTACAAATGCATATTCAATAAGGTCAGGTGCAAAAATAACGCCTTTTCGGCGATAATTCATCACTGCGCTTCTTTAGTAAATCCTGACAGTACTATTTTAACGCCAAAAGAC